CATATGGCCGACTTTTGTAACTGCTTCATGTGTGCTTGAAAAAATGACTATTCTGGGGAGGTACAGTAAGCACTTTGCCCATGTCAGTTGTGTTGTTCAGAGACTCCAGGCCTTTCCTAATTTTGCTTTTCTTTCTTTCTTTCTCTCTATTTTTGCAGTAGTGGAGCTTGAACTCAGGGTCTACACCTTGAGTCACTCTACCAGCCTTTTGGTTTTTTTTTTTTTTTCTCATAATGGATTTTTTCAAGATAGGGTCTTATAAGCTATCTGCCTGGGGCTGGCTAGCTTAGAACTGAGATCCTCCTGATCTCTGCCTCCTAAGTAACTGATAACAGGCATGAGCCACTGGTGCCCAGCTCTTTTCTAATTGTCATTTGGTACTGGAGTTTGAACTCAGGGCTTGCACTTGCTAGGCAGGTGTTCAACCACTTGAACCATGCTCCCAGCCCTTTTATGTTCTGGTTATAGTTCCTCCTATTTATGCTACCCGCATAGCTAGGATGACAAAATGTGTGCTGCTGTGCTCAGTTTCTATGTTGAAATGGGTCTCACAAACTTTTTGCCTGGGCTGACCTCAAAGAGTAATACTCCTTCTGATCTCTGCCTCTCAAGTATCTAGGATGGCAGGCATGAGCCACTGTGTTGGGCAAGAATACATTTTGAGGCTGTGTTTTTAAATGCATAGAAATTTATAATTATTTTCCCTCTTATTAAACTAAAACATTTATCATTAAGCATCTCTGTTGAACTCTATGAATATTTTTTGCCTTCAAGTTTATTTAGTCTTTATTAATATAGTTTTACCAGCTGTCATTTAGTTACTATTTCCATGAACCAAGTTGGCTTCTTCTGGTATTTTGAAGCTTTTTGTATCCCTGTGTTTTCGGCCTATCTTTAATAAACAAAAAATTTGGTATGACAATTCTTGATTATTAACTAGAATATTAAATCTCTTTGCATGTTTTGTAATTACTGGTATATTTGGATAACAACCCACCACCTTCCTATACACTTCTTATTTGTCCTACTGTTCTGTGTTCCTATTTCTCTCCTTTATCTTCTTTTAGTTTGTTTGAGTGGTTTTAGAAAAATTTTATTTGACACAAAATTGTGAATTAAATAGTACAAATTTATGGGGTATAATCCTCACCTCCATGTTCACTGCAGCAGTATTCACAATAGCCTAGATAGGGTATCAACTGATGTGCTCATCAGCATATAAATGGATAAAGAAAATGTGGTACATTTGCACAATGAAGCACAATTCAGTCATAAAAAGCCTGACATCTTGTCATTCATGTTCATGTTACACTGCATGATTTCATGCAAAGTCAATCTCATGGAAGCAGAGAGTAGAATAGTGGTTCCAAGAGTCTGGGGAGTGGGGGAACATGGAGAGATGGAATGGTTTTGTCATTCAAATTTCCCTCTCTTTTGGTTTAGAAGTTATATACATTATTTCTGTTATTTCAGTGATTATCTTGAAATCATAATTTCAGGGTAATCTTGGTGAATTCTTGGTGTCTCAATGTCCAATATTTATTTATTTATATATTTTTATTGTTGTGCTAGGTGGGGTACATTGTGGCATTTATAAAAGTTCTTATGATATATCAAATATATTATAATTGAATTCACACATTCCATGATTTTCCTTCATCTCCCCTTCCTCCCATTCCTGGATTAGTTTCAACATATATCATTTTTCCATTTACATATGTGTGCACACAGTATTTGCACCATATTCCCTCTCCACCATTTCTCCATCTCCACCCCCTTCCCTCTAATACCAACGCCCCCAGGCAGGACCTGTTTTGCCCTCTTATTCTTGAATTTTATACAAGAAAAACATGACATTTTTGATTGTTTAAGATAGCTATATGGGGAATTTCCTTGTGGCACTTCCATGTTTATATGTATTATTGTCTGATTTGGCTCATCTCCTCTATTTTTCTTCTTTCTACCTTAGTCACTTTCTTATGGTGGTTTCAACGGTTTAAAAACTCTATATTCATTCTTGTATAGGAAGTACATCAACCATATTCACCTTCTTAACTTCCTTCTTTTACCCTCCCTCTCTCATATGTGACCTCCCCTTAGCATGACCTGTTTTTCATAGAATTGCTCTATTTGTTTTAGGCCTATATTCCACATATGAGAGAGAACATGTGACTTTTGGCCTTCTGCACCTGGATAACTTCACTTAAGGTGCTATTCTCCAGTTCCATTGATTTACCTGCAAACAACAAAATTTCATTCTTCTTTGTGGCTGAATAAAATTCCATTGTGTGTAAATGCCACATTTTCTTAATCCATTCATCAATAGTGGGGCATCTTGGCTGTTTCCATAGCTTAGCTATTGTGAATAATGCTGCAATAAACATGGGTAATTTTAATCAACACTCTACTGTCATTCACAATAATTCAAGAACCCTGAAACAATTTAACTATCTTTAATCATCTCTGGTTTTATATGAGATTGCATTTAGTAACACTGAGCCACTGCCTTGAATCACTTTGGGAATCAGAGCCAACCAAACACTATGAGCCAATATGACCCAAGACGCCATTCTGTTTAATAAAGATAGACATGCTCTTCCAAAAGGCTAACTGGACCAGCCCTATCGTGGATAACGCATTCTTAAAATGCAATTGCAGAGAAATCAGGCATAGGAGGTTGGTACCTAAACTGGGCTATCTCCTTTCAATTAAAAGCAATGAAAAGCTGCAGGGAATCCTGGTAGTCTAAATATTAGATGAGACATTTTTAAATGGTGATTAAACAAAACAAAACTAGAGTTGTTAGCAAGTCTGCAGCTTGCCTAAAATTATTCTAGAAGAGCAGAATCACATTATTTCCTGCTAAAAATACTTTCATTTTCCTATTTCCTAGGCAGGCCCAAGCCTGTGGCCTTTTTGATTAACACTGTGGGTGCAGAAGAAAGAAGCAACTTCATTTATGTTGTGTATATAGTGCCGCCAAAATGAAGCTAGAAAGAAAGTTTAAGCCTCGTGTTGATCTGGTTTAAAAGGAAACTTTATTTCTTATGATGAATCACAAACGAAAGTCATTAAAAAGTTATTACCATTTTCTGGGGAAAAAAGATGGGACGTGTTACTCGGCAAAATTAAACTTCAATTGAATTATGCCTCACATATGCCCTAAAAGTAGTGAGGCTTTTACCATTTATATTTAATTTAGTTCAGTAAGATGGAGAGACTTATTTTTTATAGTGTGGCTGAATATATTAAGCACATCTACTCTGTTATCCTATGTTTTCATTTGTCCCTGAAGTGATGTGATTATGTGACCATAGACTTCTTTGATGTAAAATACCACCGTGCTGGCTTCTTGGGTCCCACTTCCATATCAAGGGGTACCAGGAACAACAATGTAGGACTAAATTTCTAATTTTCTCCAAGAACTCAAATTGTGTTTCCTGGCTGAGAAGTGATGTTAGTCTCTTAGTTCATAGGATAGATAGATAGGGGAAAAAGGGCAAATGACCGAGCATCGAGTCACTGAGTCATTGTCCCCTGGGGAAGGAATCCCAGAAGCTCTCTGTGTGGAGATAATTTAAGCCATTACAGTCCTAGAACCTGAATCTGTAAGGAGCCTTCAAGATCCTCTCCTCTGTCTTATATATGAGACAATTGATGCCCAAGCTATGAAATGTATCATTCAAGGTCATAAGACTAGTGTTCTCATATGTTTAAATCATGTTTTCCCCAAGCCCAGCAAGGCAAATACATGGAAATGAAGGTACCAGAATCCATAGGAATACAAATCAAGTTTTCTTTTAATGACAGCTTATCCTGCAGCAACTGTCCCATATCTCACTGATCTGCAGTCTTTTTTGGATGTGAGACACACAACCTCACACAGCTTCAAAATCAGATTCATATTTGGTAGAGTGCACAATGCCCCTCACTGCACTCTCTCCCTAACTATGAGAATCGATTGATGGCAAGCACGTGATGTCTTCTGCAGACCAGAACTTGACAGAGATTGAAAGCATCTGTCAGGAGAATGGGGCCTCCTGTCTTGCAGTCCAGGATAGCTGCCAATTCTGCCCTGTTAATTGGCTCCGGTGCAGGCAACAATTTTAGCAACAATTCCGTGGGTCTTCTGCAGCACATCTTGATTTAAAGGGAAATATTTGAAAAGCATTTCTCCACTCAAAGCTTGAGTCAAGGTGACTCAAGTTTAGCTGATTGGATAGAGGAGAAAGCAGCCCTCAGATGTGTTGTGTAGACATAAAACAAGATTATTCAGGCTCTTCAGATTTGAAGAATAATTTTCAGAAAGATGGTCACTTAGGAGTCTGATTTCTGTCTAAAGAGATACTTTCCCTAAGGTCAGATGGAATTGAAAAGAGAATTTATGGAAAAATTGCCCCCATGACCTTAAACATGCAGTTTTTGAGTTGATACCATAATGAGCAATGGAGTGCTATTAAAATATACTGAACGTTTTAATGACTCCACTAGCAGTTGACAAGAAAAAAGAGATTTAAACTCTGGAAGAGAGGAGTTTGCCAAGGAGATTTTAATGTCATGAATGTATAAGAAGCTAAAAATAAGGTGCTCACGCACATCCCAGAGCTGTGAGTGGGGACAGATACATAATCAAATTAAATTATTTCATTTTCATTTATGGAAAAATCTTAAGAAAAAAATTGACTAAAAAACACTTAGTTGTATCTCGCTTGGGGTGCTGCTTATAAATACCAAACTCCAGACCTGTTGAAATAAGCCCACCAGCACATCCTGCAGAGGTGTTAGGTAGATAAGGGCTACAACATGCAAAAAACACAAAGAGCTGGTAGAAACACCATGCCTGGAAAAGCCACAGGACTTCAGTTCCAGCTGAAGAGGATTCTGAGCCATAAAAACAGAAGAGGTGTCCCTGAGGTGTGCAGAGTGGAGCTCAGTCACCCAAATGTTGGATAGCATGGATAGTTGTGAATCTGTTCTGGCCCATTGCAGGTGACACACCCTCACTGGAACTTTTGCCTTGTGCCTCCCTAAGTGATAACAGGAGCAGGGTAGCAGAATTGGCTCAGGCTCCATGCACATTCACAAACTGGTGACAAGGACCCAGGAGAGTTTATGAGACTCAGCCTAGCACTGCCATTGCCTCAAGGTCTAGATGAATTCGGGCTTGGACAGAATCTGCATTTCATGCCTTTCAGTTCTCTCTCTGCATGTCATTCTGGAATCCTGTGATCTTTGTTCCCTAAAGAAAGTCCGAATAAAGGAGAGAGGGAAAATAATTTGGCCTAATGAAAAGGGAAGCAGAGATGTTAAGAAATAATAGTTACTCAGAGTTATTAATGATCAGACAACTGCTAGGCACTTTACCTGTAATACCTGGACCTCCTTCTCCACCACTCACAGTCCATCTTCCTACCAGCTGGCACCAGAGCCAGGGGGAGAGAGATGGCACTGCCCAACAGCTAGACACTCTGCTAACCCCATTTTACACATGAGGAAATGGAAGCTTATGGAAATTAAACAACTTGACCAAGGTCACACTTAACTATGAATAAGCAGGATTTGAACCTCAGGCACTGGCATTACGCCCCAGCCTTAAAACCATTCTGCTAGTTTATCTCCTAAGGATTTCTCCACCTACTCCCTATAGTTAGTTTAGGAAAACAGGTGGAAACCAGCAGAGTGACAACAATTGTGGTTTGGATTTAATTTCAGCTCTGCTACTAATGATTCATATAACTTCAACAATGTCACTTAATCTTGTAAGCCTTACTTTTCTCACCTGTTAAAAATGCCAAAATTTTGAAAATGTTCCATGTCCTGTTACCATGACAGGATTATACTGAGACAATACATGTGGAGAAGCTTTGAGCAAAATAAAGTCTTTCTACATGTGTTGGATTGGGCAGTTGTTATAGGAAGTGATGTGACAGAGAAGAAAGGCCATTGGCTATGGCCTGGGTCTACTTCTGAATTTTTCATGCTAGTAGAAACTTTATGATTCTGAAGTATCTTATATCTAAATTGGGGATTCTGGAACTGTCCTGGGAGCATTGGAATGAGCACACACATTGGATTCTGAATGTGGCAGCCATCAGTGTGTCTGACCCAGGAAAGAGCCCCCTTACCTGCAGGGGAAGCAGATGGAGCTGCTGAAGATGCAGTAGATGAGAGGATTGATGGCACTATTCAGTGCTGGCAAGTTCTGAATGATCACAGAGGCATAGAAACGCTCCTTGGTGTCTGGAAGGAGGTTGAAATTGTCTAAAATGTCAAAGAGGAAGTATGGGCTCCAGCAGCAGATGAAGGCTGGGGAGAAGAGAGCCATTAGTACTATAGAAGACACAACTGAAGCTCTCTCGTGTTCAGCTGACTGGAGTTTCAACTGGGAGGTTCTGTGACACCTGGCATCTCTTAGAAATGTTAGTCTGGGTATACTGTCTAGACTGTTGTGTGTGTTAAAATCAGTATCATGTTTGCTTAGTCATGTACACATGCATATTACATGTCCTACAGCCAGCATTCCTAGGCTGAGGTTTCCTCGATCTTCTTTCCCTGTAAAAGAGACGGTTTGATTTCCACTCTTGTGGACTCATTACTGAGGTCTGGGAACTAATGCGCATGGAGGGAGCCTCTCATCTAACACAATGCTGAAGAAAACCCAGCAAAATCCTTTGCCAGACTTACTGGGATCACCAGAAAAACAGGAAACATTTGACCAGGCAGGGGGAAGGGGTGATCCTTATGTTTTCACACAATAGCCTTGTTTAATCATGTCTCAATATTCTTTTCGTTTCTAAGTTAGCCTCTCAGAAAACACCTGTCCAATATCTCTGCTTAAATCAATTGGTGTGTGTTTGTATGAGAAAAGGAGGATGGGGGGTGGTAAAGAGAGAGAGAGAGAGACAGAGAGAGAGAGAGAGAAACTTGATTCTGTATTCTCAAAAGAAATGTGAGATGTGGGACTCCACAGTGTGAGGGTTAATCTTGTGTTGGTATCTGAATCAGTAAGATTCAAATAAGATTCACTAAGAAAAGCAGATTGCCTCCCCAGATGGAAGGGTCTCAATCAATATGTTGAAGGACTGAATAGAACAATAACACTGAGTGAGAAAGGAGTCACTCTCTCTGCTTGATGGTCTTTGAGCAAGGATGTTGGTCTTCTCCCGCCTTCACACTTGGAGTGTGGTAAGTGGAGCTTACATAATCAACTCCAATTTTCTGGACTTTGGACTCAGACTTGGAAACAGGGCTTACTCAGTTTGCTGTCCTGGGTCTCCAGCTTGCCAACTGAGGATCGTGAGACTTCTCAGCTTCCATAATCACAGGATGCAATTCCTCTATCTATCTATCTATTCACCCATCCACCCATATACCTATCTATGTATCTATCTATCTAATCATCTATCTGTCTCCTATTTCTTTGGAGAGCAGACTAATACAGAACTACATGTTCTTGGCCTTATGGACACACATGCACTCCCCTCCACACCTTTGCCACTTCCCACCCCCACCCCCACCTTTCCCATTCCCAGGATTTTTCTCAGAGTAGTAGAAATTTGGCTTCCTTGGCTGTAAGCATACAGTAGCAAACTTTCCTCCGTTGCTGTTTTATAGGGATTCTGTAACTTGTTAGGGATTTTTGGAATGAGGAGTTAACTCATCATTTCTTATCCCCAAATAGCATCAATGTGTTAAATGGGAGCCCTACAAACCCAAGGACCACTAAGCATTCTGGGTGCTGAATGATTGATTAATCCCAACACTTACCCAGAGGAGTGGGTTTGGAGGCATCAAGGGTAACATTGCCTTGTGTGTATTTGTCATAGAGATGCCACTCCTGCATGCTACAGTCAATAGCCCAGGAAGCAAAAACTTGTCTCATGTCTCATACAATTTTTTAATAATTTTTTTTGGCAGGGCCAGGGCTTGAACTCAGGGCCTCACATCTGCTAGGCAGGAGCTCTACCACTTAAGCTACTCCACCAACCCTTATATTCAATACATATTTTGAATATCCAACTGGATATTCATCTAAGGAAGAACCTTGTTTAAAATTATCTTACTCTAGCAACATAATTTTTATATATGCACAAAGATATTTTTAATAAATACTGAGTTTTCAGAAATGTAATGCCCTGGTAAGCAGAGGAAAAGATTACTATGTTAAATTTGGAACTTTACCAAGGTTTCTTTGCATGCTCAGAAAATCAAGTCAGTGACAGCAAAACTGCTTCTATTTTTTATGTCTCCATGAAAATACACCTGTGCTAGCTGTAACTTGTAGCTGTTACTATGTGTAGGTGTAGGCCTCTGATTACTTCATTATTCTACTGTTGCTTGGCCAATAGGCAGATATTAAAATGGTATTGCATTGTCATAAATCATTTTCTTTCTCCTCATACTTTACATAATTGTTGGCATATTACATTGAATTTTTAAAAAATATTATGGTAGGAAGGCAGTATTATGTATACATATCCTTTAGGAATATAACAAAATATCTGTTACAGAAAGGGCTATTTTAGTCTGTCAACACTTGCAGGCATCCCTACTTACAGAATGAAAGGATCTCACAGTTCTGGGAAATGGTTCTTAATTAAACAGGGTTATGCTAGTTCTGGAATGTATGTTTAAGTATGCATTTCCCAACTCAACATCCAGAGGAATGTGCAGGAAGGCAAGGGAGTCTTTGATCTGCTTCAGAAACCTCCAAGGAAGGTTTCTCAGAGCCCTGGTGAGTAGTATACATGTTCCCTAGCTCAGCCTGCAGTGTTGTTTTGCGCCTATATTCTGCTGGCTGAGTCATTCTGTGAGAGGTCTGTTTGGCATTTTGCAGCTGCATTTCAGAAAGGGGAGATGAACTGTTCTGGTGATATGACATGCAGCTAATGCTTTCTTGGGGGCCAGAGGAGCAGAGAGGGAGTATGGCAGCTAAATAAAGAGGACATAGCTCAAATCCTTTTCCTTCTTGAATTCACTTGTTCATTCCACAAATATTAATTAAGCAATATGTGTGAGACTCTAAGCCTTGGTGATAATAATTTAGGTAACAAAAGAGCAAGCCATTTCCTTCATGGATTTATGACTTTAGCAGAGGAAATACACAATAATAAGAATATATATATGTATATATATGTATATTAGATGGATATATGTACACACACGTATATATGTACACATATACTCATACATCAGATTCAGATAGGTACATCCTGATAAGTTTTTCTCCAAATTATCCAACCCATGGTGTTGGTGGCAACTATGGTCATAGGAGGATTAGCAACTAAATGTTGGCCCTTTAAGAAGGGACAGAGGAACTGAGTAGCTCCATGCATTTCTTTCTAATCAGAAGTGCCCATATACAAATTCCTTCCTGTGTGGGTTTTTGACCATCAGTTTGCTTTTGGAATGTTTATACAATTCTACAGCAAAAAGATACACTGCTTACCAAGAATGATGACGAGGCTATACTTGATGGCCTTGGTTTTTGCCTTTGAGATGAGTCCTCTGTTGTAGCTGGTACACAGTTTCCCATCTGTAGATACAATGGGACATGGTAAAATGAGGTGCTCATTGTGTGACAATTTCTGGCTTTGCCAATAGAAACAGTGAAGCTTAGACATGCATAGTTCACAAGAACAGGACCACTCATATTCTGCTCACCTATGCCCAGAAGGCCCTCCTTGGGCATTTTCAGACTAAGATGGCTCAAGGCTGGTTGCTGGAAACTGTTCACCTTGCAACTTAATATGAATATGCTGTGGGATGCCTCAACTCTTTCCAGAGACCTGACTTGATAGCCAGAGCCATTTGCAGCAAGAATTAGACTATGTGACCACAGGGGCTGAGGCCTTCTCTGTGGAGAGCTTCTCTCTGAACTCCATGCTATGCTAAGACACTCATGCATTTGCTTCAGCAGTTTGAACACAGTCATTTTCCTAGAATGGCTACTCCAGACCAACTGATTCATCTAACTCAGAAACTCTACTCTCAACAAAAGGGGATTCAGCAAAACTGTTCCGTATCTGAACCCGGATACAACTTTAATCACATGCAATGGCCATCTGATGATAAATCAATTCAGGTGTGAATATGGGCACCCACTACAAGGGCTGGGGGTACGGTTCAAGAAGTAGAACACTTGCCTAGTATGGGTGAGGCCCTGGGTCCTCATAAATGAGGACAGGAGTTTTGTTTTCTCCACTCCTGTAGCCTCTGATCATAATGAATAATTAATAAATGTTTGGTCAATGGATGAACACCAACCTCTCACAGTCAAGAAGTACTGATTAAAAACTGGTTATTATGGACAAAATTTAGTGTAAAAGATCTTTAAACATGGAGTGGAGAGATGGAAAATTTGGGGATGAAATGTTGGCTACAGGGTTCCTTGCCTCTTTGGAAGAATTTATATTGTCAGGACTTAGCCAGCTCACATGGCACTTTTGTGGGAATTTGGGAACAGTCTCCTTCCTCTACATGGACACACAGTTACCCCAGAGCACCAACTCAATGAAAGAGTATGGACAAGATGTGAGTTCTCAATTGGGTGTCACTGAGTTGGCTTAGTGGCACAAGCCTAGTGGCAGCCCATGTCAGAGGTATACCCAGTTTGCATCAGAAAGGCTAACTTCAGTGCTCAGCTAGCCTCACTCCAAGGAGGTCTGTGTTTGAGATTTGTTTTCATCCCCATAGAGACTTGTTAGAACGGTACCTTTGTTCAATCTCATCTCCAATCCAATGTAACAAGCATAGCCTATCTGCTCAGAGATATGGACTGAATGAAAGTCCTAAAATAGAATTCTTGTTCTCTAGGAACTTTCAATCCAGCAGGAAAACTTGCACACTTTCCAGAAAGCTGGATGAAAGGAGAGAGATAAAAAGCAGCCACGAACAGAAAGATAGTCATGTCCCTCCTCTCCCCCAAACCCAGCTAGGCTGGGTAGGCTGCGTGGGAGATTCAGCAAAGGGATCCCAAAAACAAAGATGGGGTATGGTCATGGGATTGGAAAAGATGTGGGCAGCAGAGGAACATCCTCAGCTGAAATGTGGAACAAGAAAGTGGAGGATGTGTTTGGACCACGATGAATCATGTTGTTTGGATGTAGCCTGCAAGTGTGTGTGGGTTGAAGGTGGAAAGAAGAACTGAGGACAAACTGGGAAGACCTTGAATGTCTTTGTGAGGAGTCTGAGCTGAATTCCTGAGACAGCAGCAGGCTGTTGAAGCTTTTGAGAGTTTGCAATGTGAACATTTCTTCATTGGGCTTTTTAGGTGCACAGAACGAAAATACTAATCATAATTGAGTCTTAGTTCTTAAGGTTTGCCCTGTGAGACTGCTCCTAGCTACTATCAGTGTCTTTAAATTATTCTGCGCATTTTCCAGAACTGCAGAGCTTCAGCATTAGAAGACAGCAAATACTGCAGAATCATGCGCAGCAGTGGTTCTTAACTGGGATGATTTTGCCTCCAGGGGAATTTGGAGTTGTCATAACTGAGTGGGGTGTTAGCCATCTAGTGGGGTAGAGGTCAGGAATGCAGCTACACATCCTTCAATGCACAGCATCCCACCCACCTCCCAAAGAATTGTACAATAAAGAATTAGACCAAATTGCTGAATTTGCTAAGAATGAGAACCTTGAGTTCCAGGATGGTATATTGGAAAGGATCCAGGCCTCAACAACAGATCTAAACACATCTTCCTATTTTATCAATGACTACCTGTGTACACGAAGGCAAATTGCCTAAGGTTCCCAGCCTCAGTTTCCCCTTCTGAAAAATTAAGCATAAAACATCAAACTCACAGAGTTACTTTAAGGATTAAAATAAAATAATAGTGGATTTCAGATGCAAAGTTCCATGCTGGGAAGTCAGTTAACTTGTCAGTTGGGATGAGTGAAGTTTTAATAATATTTTAGGAAGAATATAAGCTATCTTTGTGGAAGAAAACAGAAGGTATTACTACCTGAGATAGTCTGCTATACAGTGTTGTCATCTATAGACAGAAGAAAATTATCATGGTGGGATTATATCCATAGAGACACGGAAAGATGATAGCAGATCAAATTATATCCTTTCAAAGCATCTTCACCTGCTGGTCCTAGGTAACAGCTGGCCCCTAAACAGCATGGCTCTGAAGACTTAGTTGGTCTTTCAGAAAAGTTTTTGAGAATGGCATTTATGCTCTGAAATCTGTTTAAAATGGAAAGTCGCAATACTTTCCACAGGGCAACTAGGTGACAATATAATCAACTGCCTGCCCTCTGATCTCCCAATGAGATCAGTCAAAAGCATCATTAATGTGACCACTCCAGGAAACGCAAAGCCTCCAGCTCTAAAGTTGACTCTTCAAAGAGAGCTGAGCTACAGAACGCAGGTAATTCTCCTTTATTGGGAGATAAAAGGACTATTTCTACTGAAGCCTTGGTGCTGAGCTGGAGTGAAAAGCAGTGAAATTCAGCTGTCACTATGCATTAATGGCTTGGGCAACATGGAGGGAGTGGGCCCATGAGATTTGATACTGGAAGAAGCACACAGATACAGCTGGCTTTAGTTGCAAGCATGTATCCCTAATGAGGGTCATGCTGAAAATCTAGTCTCCAAATGGCCTGTTCTGGCACTTAACCTTCCCAAGGCTTTCGGCCCCTACAGAGCTGTCAGGAGCCTGTTCTTCATGTGGGCCAGCAACCTGAAACTGGAGTAATTGGTCCCTTGGGATTTTTAAATAGAGGCAAACTCATTCCTGCTGCGTGGGGAGAGCCATCTGTGTACCTATAATAAGCTCAGGTGATTTGTTTAGAAACAGGGAAGTCTAACTGGCAATATTTTTAAAAAGGTATGTTTTGTGTGATGGAAATTCTATGTATTGGGAGTTATTTTAAAAAATTTAATAAATTTTAGCAGTTTTTCTTTATTAATGTTTTTGAGGCTTACGATTCATTTTTGATCAGTAGTGACTTTTTTGCCTATGAATATAAACTGAATGTCTATGAAACTCATCAGTTAAGTGTTTTTACTGCAGTAGGCTTTCTCTACTTATCTGTGAGACTGGTCATTTCCTTCCCAGAATTTTCTTGACTTTAGTTTTTCTGGTGGACCCAACAGGGCATCTCAGAGAAGGGCTAGCCTCTGCAGGACTGTCTGGATCATGCTTTCTATGATCTCTGCTACTGCCTTGGGTAGCCCCATGCCACATCACCAGACCTCCCCCTTTGTCAGCTACCACCTCTGGAGGGGCTCTGGCTGGGTACCATCTCTGTGGCAGCCACAGTCACTTCTAAGCTACCTCTGCAAGTTCCCTTCATTAGGAATTTGTCTGTACCCCTGGGCAGTTGCTTTGCTCTCTGCTGCACTTCTCTTGGCCTAATTTCTGCCCCTGGGCTGTGGATTATTCAGCATCACTGCTGTCCCCTGGGATATCTGCCAGGAAATAAGGATGGGTCTTCACCCCTCTGTGCTCTGTGGCTGCAGGGCCTGTACCTGAGCTCCTGCAGAGAGGGAGGGTTTTAGCGTCTTCAGCTTCACATGCAGCTGTTTCTTCTCTACATGTCCACAAGTGACTAGAATGGTTAGGTCAGAATGCTTCCAGGTGACCCAGAACATAACTTCCCTTTGGCCTTAAAGACCCTCAGAAAACTTAAGGTCCCTTTGTTGTCATGTCTTTCCCAGTAGCTGGTGATGCCTGCATACTTCGACCCTTCAAGATAAAAGCACTTTGAACTCTTTCCTCAGGAGGGTTTTAGGCTAGTGCCAGCTGAAGGTCACAGCTAGGTCTGAGGAGGGATCACCTAATTCAGGTACAGCCTTTTCTGTACCTTTGCTTTTCAGCCCAGAAAACCAGGAACCCTGACAGGCCTCTGTGGAGACTGTCCACCAACCCCTTTTACCTCAGCACACAGCTAGACTACATTTCCCATCCTCCCCTTTGGCAGGATGTGATCATGTGACTAAGTTTAGCTGAAGGGAACATGGGAAGAATTAATGGTTACCTCCTACACCTGATTTAGATAACCCACCCAAGTAACCCTACATTCTTTTACGTGACCCCTGCCTGCTGGATGTACGTGCTGATGGATACCTTAGTAGCCCTTTGTGAAATGTGGCAGAAATATAGTTGAATTTCTGAAATTCTGTGTGGAGCAATGCCCTTCCCTTTGACCTTTGCTGCCAACTGCATTTTAATTAAGCAAGCAATAAACTTCTGTTTTGTTAAGGCTACTGATATTTTTGGAGTTTACACAGATGGTAGTGTTTCCTTATCTAAAGCAGAAATTGGTGCCTTATATGCAACACTGCCTTAATAAAAACCTTAAACATGTAGCACTGGCTAAGCAGGCAAGCAGCAGGTGGCAAGAAATATGGGACACTGGTGATCCATTTGTTGGAAATGCCAAGTCTGATGCCTGGGAAGGCAGAATGTGAACCTACTGAGTCTTGAGCCCAAAGAGATGAGGTTGGTAAACAGAATGCTGATAGTGTGTATTGATTGTTTCCAGCTATGTTCAGGAAGAAATTGGAAAAAAGAAATGAGCTCAGGT